GGCGAGGGGGCGCCCCTCTGCACGAGTATCGCTCGTTCAGGCGAGGGGGCGCCCCTCTGCACGAGTATCGCTCGTTCAGGCAAAGCTGGGTATGTGAAGGGCTTTGAGGTGCCCAATTATCATTTTACCCTCCTCTTCAACAGTAATAATCAAACACCGTGTATTGCCTTTTTGTTGAAGATGAGCCACTGTAGCTCCAGTAAGAATCTGTATACCAGGCTGATGTTTTACTTATTCACTCTGTAGGCTTACTGCCATTTCCATAGTAAATAAATGAGGCATTTTGCCCAGAAGACAAATTGTCTTCAAGGTACGCAAAGGACATTATGGACTGCTCACAGGGATACTTCATGGTCATGTACTGTCAGTACAGTATAATATTGATATTCATGCTTTTGCAGCCCTGCTTTACAGCACAAGATTGGTATGAGAAAACCAGGCACAAAACCCCCCACTGAAGACTGTCAATAACCCTCTATATAAAATGGCAATATTCTGTTACAGCACAAGTCTCCTGGGCGAAATGTGATGGCTGAACTTTTTACAAGGCAATTAGCCCATTAAAAATCAATTACTCTCCTCTCTACTCTATGCCCTTTGAAAGTCTTTGAAGGAAGATAATGTATTTCCTCGTGAAATAAAATGAGAAAATCAATTGCTGTCACCCTAACCTGGTGCAGGTGAGATGAAAGAAATGGCTGACGACAGTAAAAGACGCACCTGTGTAGAGCAGGTGATAGGATGTATTGTCAGGATTTGAGGCTGGAATTGGGAGATTTCTTTTTTAAGTCGACAGGGACTACAGAGTAGCTATAAAACAAGTCAGCTGAAATGCTGACTTGTTTCCATGTGCATCAACCCTTCATTTACTGTAAATGAAAGCATACGTTTTAAAAAAAGTTACGTTTATTCGTATTGCTATTCAAGACAGGATCGATGGAGCCTGAATGGATTGATTTTTTAGCTTAATCTGCCCATCTCACATAGGGGCAGCTATGAACTGACAGCGACACAGAGATGGGTGAGAGTGGGGTGAGATCAGGGTTCGACCTCTTCCTTCATTTTCATCAGCTTTCCTGGATAGATTTATGCTTCTGCACCTTCTTGGTCACACTGAGCAAGGTAAGTAAAGAGAGCAGAAGTGCGTACCCAAATGTCTGAAATAATCTTCCAGACCACTCCAGGAGTTCTTAGTGATGAAGGATTTCACAAGACCCCAGGGCTGCTTCTTGTACTTCACATCGGTGTAGATACTGAAATAAAACAGGGAGACAGCATTACAGAAGCCTGGAGTTAAGAGAACACATTGTAACTTAGGACACAAGTCTCCAAAACGAAACAAACTTCACACAAGCCTCAGGAGGAGCATCTGAGTCCCGACAGGCCATGAGGGAAGGCCAGCCTCTGGGGATGGTTTATTATTAACAAAGCTGAGCAAATGATTAACAAGGAGAAAGTTTATAGTTCCACTTTGACCTCATTGAAGGAAGTGGCAAAACTACCAGCAAAGGACAAAATGACCGAAACTCGTATGACTTGTCTGATTTCATTAACCCCTCATGGTTCGTTTTTTTTTTTAAATAGGATTTCCATTTTTCCACTCTTGTGCTGTAGTTCTCGCTGTTGTGCAGAGAAAGAAGAGCAGCAGTCAGCTCTTTTGTGTCCTACACCCATGTGTGCCTTAGGAGTTAATCCTGCAGGCTCAGAAACGGTTTCTTTGCTCTGTATAGACTCCCAGGGGATATGTACAGTGCAGTGAAAAATGCTATGCACACTTCTCCTTCGGAACATCTGTATCATTTGCAGTTGCTTTGAATTTTATGCTGAAGTCAACTTTAATCTAAGATGTACACACATGGTACTAGCCCACTTTCAGAGATTATTTTTAATTCTGACATAGATGTTGAATTACACTTCGAATCGAGTAATTCCTCAATTACCAAAGAAGAAAGAAACAGTGGTTAGATTGTTTTGTTGCTGAATTGGGTCCAGGGTGTTTTAAACAGAGCACCAATAGGCTGATTAATTTTTCATTGTTCTTCATGGGTTGGAAAGCCCAAGACCAGAGAAGTGCTTACATCACATATTTAAAAGCATTACCATTTAACATGCCCTATGGAAAAACATCCCGTTCTCTCGTCAGACAAAGTAGCCCACTCCAATCCCAAGCGATGCAGTCGATATGTCTAAAGATTTTCCTTACACGTGCACCCAATAAAAATATGTTCATAAAACGAGAAACAGTTTTTTTCCCCATTTAGAATAAAATTAAGGACTTTAAACTTGCAATGCAGAAGTGATCCCTTAAAAAAAAAAAAATCAGCTATAAAAACTTAATGTTGCTAAACGGATCCACCTATTTTGTACCTGCTCCGTCCAACTGAGGGTCACAGGGAAGCCGGAGCCGGAGCCGGAGCCAGAGCTTGTCCCGGCTAGCAATGGGCGCAGGGTGGAGCAGGTCGGGACGCTAGTCCATCACAGGCCACACACCACAGACAGACTCGCGCTCGCTCACGCCACGGCCAGTTTACCCAGAGGCCAATTCATCTCCCAGCAGGTCTCTGGGCTGAAACCCCCCGCGAATCCGGGGAGAACATACAGCTCCACACTGACAGCGTCCGAGGTCGGGAACTGAACCCAGGGACTTGGTGCCGTCCGCTGTACCGCCCATGCTGCCCTACATCTCGACCAAGACCTTCGGTACGAAGACGTCATGGTGGAACGGGCACCGACACCTACCGGAGACGACAGCGGCGCCTGGACGAGCGAATGATGCAGTAGCGGTTGAGGGTGTAGAAGTAGTCGTGGTAGGGCACGTCGTGGGTGAAGACCTCCGCGTCGACCAGGTAATACTGCCCCTCCTGGCTGTCCTTGTTCATGGCCTGGGGAGCGGACGTGAGCAGACGGGCCGTTACAGTGAGTTTCGAGCGGGCGGCTGCTTCGACGCCGAAACGCCTTCGTCGCCGTCACACCACGTGCACGCATGGCTTCAACACAATTGCATTAAAGTTCCTGTTTTTAAACAATTGGCGTTTGGTGGAGGAAGAAAAAAAATGTCAAAAGGCGTTTCCCTTTATGATCCTATATCACATCCTTGTCTCTCTGGTTTCTCCTGTGTCCAGTCCTCCCCACTGCCCATCTGTGGACTTCTCTGAACATTCAAGCCTCAAAGCCCCAGTCCGGTTAATTCCTCCTACAGGTCACCTGTTCTTAAAGATTGAAAACTCTTTGAGGAGTCTGTTAGGACTCTGGTCCTTGACAACTGAAGACTAGTTAGATTTAAGTCGTCCTAAAGGACCTCTAAATTATGCAATTTAACATACTGTATCACCCGTTTAATTGATCACAATGTATTTGTTCCATATGTTGAGAAACTGGGGATTTAATGGTGAGGTTGCAGATCCCCGTTCTGTACTAACTCACGTTCCCACCTGACTGCAAACCACTATTAATTGCCTTCTCCTGGACATCTTCCACCAGAATTTCTAAAAATACACGTGCACTTTAAAAAAAAAAATTGCCAAATACAACACAAATCCCAACAAGTTAAAGCAAGGATATGTTGGTGATAGGATTCACAGTAGCACTGCAGTTAACATGGGTGTCTAGCACCCATGGGGCGGAGCGGTGGCTCTGTGGATCAGGATCTGCGCCTGAGGCTGGAAGGTTGCCGGTTCAAATCCCGCGGCCAGCAGAGGAATCCTACTCTGTTGGGCCCCTGAACAAGGCCCTTAACCCCAACTGCTCCAGGGGCGCCGTATAAATGGCTGACCCTGCTCTCTGACCCCCAGCTTCTCTCCCTGTCTGTGTGTCTCATGGAGAGCAAGCTGGGATATGCGGAAAGAAATTCCTAATACGAGAAATTGTATATGGCCAATAAAGTGATCTTATCTCTCTCTCTAGCAGCAAATATTCCTGCATTGAACTAGGGGGTCATATTTTTTGAAAACCACGTTCCAAGCCATTGTTATCAAAGTCGAGACACCACACCTGTGTTTCTGTGGCAGTGGAGAACTTGCCGATCAGTGGGTTAGAGATGGTGATGGTGTAATTCAAAGTCCTCCTTTGGCCTCCAGAGCTGTCCTTCTTCCATGGAGTGGCCACCATTCCTGAACAGAACACAGAAGAGCATCATCACTACCTGCTACTGGACAGGGAAGGGGTCGTTCTCAATTTGCCAGTTATCGTGCTTCTTACAAATCTATCTTCACTTTCATTTTTTTTTTTACTTCATCACACTGCACTTCCTTTCTCAACACAACCTTCATTGTAACAGAAAGAGAATTTAATTGAACCGGGTCTCGGCTGCAGTACCTCAAAGAACCGATGAAAACTCTACTTTTTAATCATTTCGTCTGGTTTTCTCATTCTGAAATCCTGAGCTGAAAATAAGTCATCCCCAGTGTCAACGGCTAAAGCCGTTCCAAGACAGCACGCATAATAACGCCGAACGATCCGTAAACATCACTTCTGATCATTGCGTGTATGTGCTAGTGTACTTCAAGAACAACCCTTATAAAGATGTGAAGAGCTGTCAGTGTGAAGAAACAGGAACAAACCCTCCTGAGTGGTGCCAACAACACCGACGTGACACGAGGGCGGGCACTGCACCTGTGATTTTCCGTTCGCTCATGAATCTCCGGATGAAGTCCGAGTCGGTGAAGAGCAGCTCAAACATCTTCTCGGCACTGATGTGAAACACTCGATTGACGTACAGCCGTCCCTGGCCCTGACTGGAGCCCAGTCGCTCTTCTGCCACAAAGACACATAAGCCACACTGCACCACCAGCAAGAAAATCTGGAAACGTTTTTTTTTTTTTAAGGTGTTCAAGGCGGGGGAAAAAAAAACTTTCAGATACATCCTTTGCAGAATGCATTTCTCTTTTAAAACACAAGAAACACTTTGGCATAATACTTCAACAACCTCAAATTCAAAAACTCAATTTGAAGAGAAATTATATTAGAATACTTTAGTAGCTTCTAAGGATTTTGAAGACGTTCTGGCAGCCTATATCGATCACTAGAAAGCAGAATTCCACAATGTTAGTAAACTGTCCAAGATCAAACAAATGTGTTTTTGCTTAGATATAGGAGATATTTGTTTTTGCTGGTAGAGAACATGCTTCCCATGAGTGTAATTATTTCTTCTTGTCCATGTTCAACTTCTGAATGCAGATAAATCCCATCGGGTTTTAATGATCTACATGAACCTGGAACTGACCAACAAATTTGGAATTTATAAAGGTTAATATATTTCTATTCATGCAATTTACATTAACTCAGGTCACCACACTCCTAATTTACAGCTACACAAAGGGCTATACCGTCTCTAATTAGACAGTGTAAATCGCTGTTAAAAAAAAACAGCTCGGTGCATAAACTCACAAGAGACGTTTTAATTTGGTTTAATGTTTCATGCTGATTTACTACTCAGTGTAGTTAAAAAGCAAATGCACCGATATTAGAACAGTTTCAATTTCTCTGGTCCTTTTCTTCTTCCATGTCACTCTAAAAGATTCCTCACCCTCCTCGAGCGGATCGGACGTGCTCCTCTCCGTCAGCCGGTCCTCGTTGCTGTTCAGGTCGAGAGAGTGCACAGACCGTTTGGAGACCCTCTCTTGAGAGTGCCTGTCCGGCGGCTGTCCTGGGGTCCTGAGGCGCACGTTACCATCTCTGGGCTCCTCCTGAAGGGACACCGACACTCACAGCATTACTATCGTGGGAAGGCGAAGGCCACACCCCAGCAGAGCGCAGGGAAGCAGGAGTGGAAAAACCCTGTCTGCCACATACAGGGTCTCTTCTTCCATCTATCCCCACTTCTAAAACTTAAAAGCACTTACAGAAATATATAAACGGCAACAGGTTATGGCTAAAATAACTCCTTCAACAGCACACAGCTCTGGTTACCTCACAGCACAGCACATCTGCATACGAGTTGGCAGTACAACACTGTAGATATTATAGCTATGCAGAACATCTCCTGGAATTTCCAGAAGGGTGTTTACTGTACGGCGCCTGCATACCTTGTGGTCATAAATCCTGGCGATAAAGCTGAACTCACGGCACGTGAAGAAACTAGCTGTAGATAACGACAACACTGCTGTGTAATTAACTTGACGTTCCCCTGGTACTGCTGGTCTCTGTTTTTACTTTGTCGTCGAGTGACGTTATATTTCTACGCGTTGTGACAAAGTCCGATAAAAGCCGAAAGTGAATTTCAAGCTACATCCCGATCTCGTCCTCAAAGAGGAGAGAATAGATTCTGAGGCAAACCGCTCCTGGCTTCTTATAATTATAATAAATTGCTTACACTTATATAGCGCTTTTCTGGACACTCCACTCAAAGCGCTTTACAGGTAATAGGGAGTTCCCTCCCCCACCACCAGTGTGCAGCCTCACCTGGATGATGCAACAGCAGCCATAGTGCGCCAGAACACTGACCACACACCAGCTCTCAGTGGGGAGGAGAGCAGAGTAATGAAACAAGTTCAAAGATGGGGATTATTAGGAGGCCATGATTGGTAAGGGCCAATGGGACATTTGGCCAGGACACCGGGGTTACACCCCTACTCTTTTTGAGACACACCCTGGGATTTTTAATGACCACAGAGAGTCAGGACCTCAGTTTTACGTCTCACCCGAAGGACGGAGCCTGTTTACAGTACAGTGTCCCCGTCACTATACTGGGGCATTAGGACCACCACAGACCGCAGGGTGAGCGCCCCCTGCTGGCCCCACTAACACCTCTTCCAGCATCAACCTTAGTTTTCCCCAGGAGGTCTCCCATCCAGGTACTGACCAGGCTCACACCTGCTGAGCTTCAGTGGGCTGCCAGCTGTGAGTTGCAGGTTGATATGGCTGCTGGCAATATGGCTTCCTGATGGCCTTTCAGATGCTGTCTTACCACGCTCAGCGCATTGCCATTGAGGACGACCGGAGAGGGCTGGGGCGCCTCCTCACTGGTGGTGGTGAACTCGGCCGCCGCCGTCTCCACCAGCGGCAGTCTGAGGGTAGAGGGTCTCTCCAGCCGGCCTGCATGCTCTTCGCCACTTTGCTTCATGGCAGAACTGCCAGATCAAAAATTGTTCAAGAAACGATTTAAGTCCAAAGTATGGTCGGCATCATTGCTGGAGGTGGCGGCGGCAGGGGCGCTTTAAATTCTAGATTAAACCGTTCGCTTGACCAACTCAATATTTAAGATTTACCTTCTTAAGCTTCAGGTTGACGACCAGACAACTTCGCATAAATACTCTGAAATTTATGACTGGTCGATGAGCTGAAGTTATAATTTAACCCAGGACTAAATCTCATCTCCCAACTCACAACGTAACACTAATTCTCAGTATCAAGAGTTTGCTAGTTACAAAAACATTTTTCCCCCCCCACTACAATAAGAAACCTTATAATTCTTGATCATATTAACAAAAAAAGTGAAACAACACGAGTCAGTGGAGAAGCATGATACCGGTACAAAATATTACGTGGCTATACAGCAGAACTACAAAGGTGACAGCCCACTGTCAATATTGCTTACTGCAATCAAAGTGCATAAGAAACTCAGCTCTACTGACTTCAGAAGAGCAGATACAAAATACAGAGAGAAGAAACAAAACTTCAATTAAAACACATACTGTAGATAAAAATGACAAACTTCTCCTACTGCACCAGTTAAAGCAACATGCGCCATTTTAACATGAAATGGCCAAAGCAGCGGATTTAAATGGACTTAGAAAATTTGGGGATTTGAATGACATACCATGACTCTGGAAATTCCAACCCTTTGCTTTCCCTTTTTGTCCCAAGTAGAAGAGGGGGGATTCGATCGGCAGAAGTGACAGGTGAGAAACAGTCCTTACCCAGCCTGAGAGGTGCTGTCTGTGGAAACCTGTAAGCTCTCCATTTCTTCATTGTTCAGCCCCAGGTCACTGCCATAGTGCTGTCTGACCATCTGCCAGAATTCCTGCTTCGTCAGTTGCTGGGGGTGAAGACGGGGGGAAAACGTCAGAGGTGCTCCTATAATTACCCCCCAACAAATCCACAGCAGTGACCAACCATCATGTGATCTCCAGCTGATCTCCGACTGCTGAGAAGTGCAATTTCCAGGTATCAAAGGCACATGGCCCTGTACTGCTGGGTTTTACAAGGATGCACCTTAGCTGGCAACCTTTAGACCTCCTGGTGTTATACCAGAAGAGCTCAATAAATCTGTGGCTCATAAACCATAAACCACATGGCTTCCCTAAAGCATAAAATGAGTACTGGTCATATTAACCTCAGACTGACCTACCTAAAAGACAAAAAAACGAGAATTATGGACACAAAATTCCACAGCCAACATACGTAAGGCAAAATTCATTCAGCTTAAAAAAATATGCATAGCAAAACGGGACACACAACGTTGACTGCAATATCTAGCACATCTGCCTTAAACACTGCACTATAATGTAACACGTAGTCAGGAGAGATGAGTATCATTCACGCAAGTGCGCCCCGTGTAACATCTGAAACGCAGAGCGAACGGAAGGTATCTAATGTAAATCTGGGGGGTGAACCCGTAGAAAACGAACCCGTAACAAATTAATACAAAATACAGAAGCTAAAAGACGTGCAGAGCTCGTAAACGCAGTTTGTTTTTCTCTATGTAAATACACGAGCCTGTGGGAAAACAGTGGAAGGAGCTTTAAGGAAGTAAACGGCAGTAACAACTAAAGCATGCAGTTTGCCCAAGCAACAGCCTCAACAACAGCAGTGTTTCAGAAGGAAAGGGAAAACTACCCTCCCCCCAGCGAAGAGTCGAGAGTTATTCCGAGATTCTTCAAACCGTCGTCCTTTTCTTGTTGGTTTGTTTGTTTGTTTTTTCTCGAATGGCGTGCGTTAGTCATCAACCCAAGATTACCGTTCTTTAATTAATGGTGTTGCAGTCGCGGTTCCTGGTCCAAAACGCATCCCGGCTTGCGCGTCGCTGCCGGAGTCGTGCGCCACAGCCCGAGTAACCTGTGAGCTGGGTGTGACCGAGGAAAGCCACGGACAGGCGCACAACCGATGCTGAAGAACCCGCCCCCCAGCGCCCAAGGTGAGGATTTTAAAAAGACAGGTCTCCATCCGTCTCATTAGGTCGGTACAGGCCGTACAGACGAAATAATAGTCTAATAGCGCGCGTGTTCATTTCAGTATTTCGCCTATCCCGCTCCTGCTGCAGCGGTGCCCGAGCTGTGGGCTGTCGGTATCGGTGTGGGTTGTTGACGTGACGAAATACACTCGCGTGTACTCTCTTTGCCCTTTTTTCGTACTACTGCAGAACCTGCCTGGCGCGTATTAGCAATACACGCCAAAAGTGAGCAGTATTATGGCCGTACCATGCTGCCATACACTTTAGCTACTGTGAGTGATTCTGAAATTGTTTTGTTAAAAACGTACCATGACGTGGGGCGTTTCATTATTATGCAAAGAAAAACCCTCTTGTCTGTTCCTGTCAGATTATTCAAGCATTGCTGCACTGTTTCCCTTAAAGTTTACATAGTTTTAAGGAACACACAATCTTTCATAAACAGGTTCTGCATTTCAGTTATTTTCCTGTATGTGTTTTAAATCAGATAAAATCCTGTAAATGCATGGAAGAATTGCCTAGTTTGTCCACTAGCTTAGGCATTTGAAAACAGACATTTTCAAAGAGACAGTGAAAAAGATATTCTAAAGCAAATCTGTGGTGGCCTTTGTTTTCCATGGCATCGAAACTCTCCCTGAGAGTACCATAGCAGCTCTGATACTTCACCACACCTCTCTGACACAGGTATGCAAATGCTAAACCTGTTTGATAGGATCAGCTGAACTGGACTGAAAGGCTGCTGTCAGACAGGTTTTCAGTCTGTATTATCATTGGCACACTCTACTCTACTGAGGATCACAGTGACACTTAGGCTTACTTTGATATCATCTTTATGAGGTCAGCGAAAAAAATAACAACTGTACTTCGTAATGTGTTTCATTTTTGATCAGGATAAAATGATCAGCAGATTTTTGTTCATGTTGAACGGGGTCAGTATAATCCCAACAGAGCAGGGATTGTGATGTGTGATCAGAGACGTCATGTGCAATCTGTTGATCTTTACTGGCACCCTACAGTACGTTAGCTCACTGAAATTAGACTTCCTTACAAGCGGCGCATGCATAACACTTGTAGATCATGCATCTGAGAGGTGCATATCTACAGGACCATTGCGTTCAACGTTGATGATCAGTGAAAAGAAATGTAATCTCATCATACACAAACACTTAGAGAAGAAAATCTGATTCTCTGATGCTTTTGATCAAAGTGGTGTGATTGAACTGAGTACAGTCAATTTACTGCGAAAACTTATCATCAAAATACATACTGTATGTACCTTTTAGAATATGAACTGAATGATTAGTAACTATTTGCAGAAATATGTATTTTTTATAATAAATGTTTTGTTGTAAATTCCTTGTTAATGCCATGCTTTTTCATGTCCATTGCCACTGTTCTTTCTGTAAAAGGTTATATGAGGTGTGGTCATATTTTACAAATCATACTGTATATTTACTTGTAAGAAAACAAGAGCCATATTCACTAACAGAAGCATCCTGCTAGAGACTGGTTGAGAAAATGTTCTAGTGCGCTACGGATACATTTTTTAAGTGAAACAAAATACCGCCATGGTGTAAAACAATATTGGATTTGTATCAATCCTGCAAGTAATTAATTTACTCTGAAGGTTCTGGGCAAGCGGCTCCCTTCACCACAGACTTGTGAAAGGCATGCAGGAAATTAACACAATAGCAGGATCGATGCAATGCCTTGCAACACTTCTCCAGCTCTCCCGGGGTTTACACTTCTGGCTATATAATGTAAAACTCACAAGCAGACTGACAAGTTGTTGTTCGTGATTAAAATGTTTTCACTTAATTTCCTGTCATTTTCCCGGACAGAGGAGCACTCCTCCGGGTGAGTGGCAGGTTACTGCTGTTCAGAGCCTTTATACATAATTCATCCTGTAAATTACAAAGCCTTTGTCTCATATCCCTCAGTGTGACCAGAGTCCTTTTCCCCCTACGACGATTCTGTTTATTTTTCAATCCAAAGGATCTCACCTGGGCAGATTGAAACACCCAGATAACACCAAATGATGCTGACCAAATCATGGATAGGGAAAAATCCCTTAAACTATAACATGCAATTAAGTAATACATGTACAACAACTCTTTGAGGTTTTGTAGTGCTCATCTAAGCCATGTGAACACAAGAAAAACGAAATTTCCTACCTTGTCTAGTAGTGAGTTCTGCCACATTCGGAAAACACTGAGGTAGCTTCTTTCTCGTGCAGAGAACGATGTGAAAAAATACTGCAGTAGGACAAGACAGTGTTGGCTTATTGGCATCACTTTCTATTAATAAAATAATAACTGATTTAAGACGCATTTTAAACAATTGCAACAATTAATTTGCGCTCCTTCTCCTTCTCAGCTTTGAAAATGTGTTGAGACTCGCAAAACACAACACATTAGGAACATCAGTACAAGTAAGAGGCCATAAAACAGGCAGCTAAATTCAGCATGATATTTGTCCAGGACTGCTTCTCAGAGACAACTAAATGCAATGTGACACTGAAATCACTGAACCAAATGAGAGGTCAACATACTGCACAACTGAGGAAACATTCTTCACTTAAAGACGTTCATCATTTTAACAACGCAAAGGAGCCATATATCTTGTATATGCACATGCATTGTAGGTATTGAATAACTTGTCCCTGAGAAATGGTCACTTTACTCTGCGTTAGGGAGATGCTCAGTGCGACTTGAGAAGGTGTCAAACTAGGTTTTAAACGTAACCCGTCACAAGGACACTGACAGAGAGGATCATTCATGGTTCTGACAGTAGAGATAGTCCTTCAGCTGTACCTTGTCACTCTCAGTTGATACTTGAATGGCATTGGGAATAAGTTTAGCCGTCTTCTCCCTCGTCATTGACGTTATGTCTTTCAGTGTCAATGTTATCTGCAATCACAAGAAAGGAAATGTAGTGCTTAATGCACTGTATCCCCTAAGCACAATAGCTCTGAAGGTGACCAATGGCCGTCAGTATTCTCAGACTGACATCCGAGAGCATCCAAGAAGCTTTACTTTTCTGTAATGGGCCATCGCAGGTCAGAGATGAGCTGACTCTGTGATGCACAGTTCAGGTGTCAGCGTGCACGCACTCAGTAACTGAGGAGGAACACCCACTACAGCATCAGTATGTCTGCCTCTTACTTTGCCAGCTCGCTGGCTCGCCCCTGTGCGTCGGCTCTGGCAAGAGCTGTCAGGTCTTACCGTAGTGCCCCAGAGGAAGAAGTTGCTGTGGAAACAGAGCCGGTTCTCGGTGAGGTAGAGGCGTCCCTGCAGTAGAATGTCCCTCTGAAGTGCACAGGCATAATCTGAGAAAACACATGGGACCCTCAGCACCAGAGACAACTTGGCTACCAAAGGAACACCATTGCCCTGGGGCTCCACACCTTCCCAATCCATTGTTGAACTGAAGCACGTTTTAAAGATCCTTTCACAGAAAACAGCCCTAAAGATGTTTTCCTTGGTGGAATGTGCCTGCTGTTCATTATCTTTAGGGCAAAAGGGACAACGGACCCATCTTGTAGAAATGTTCTTCTTTCTTCTCCTGGCTGTTTTGTGATCCTAAGATTTCTTTTATTAAAGATGAACCTTTCTCCATTGTGAATTCCATCATCGGCCATTTATTTTAGAGAGGAATGCCAATATCCTTTTTAGAAAAAAAAATCTTCGCATTTGAATATCTGTGTTTTTTAACTATTGTGCTGCACAATAAGCATGATTGTAAACTGACTCACCAGCTATTAACCTTTCGGACTCAGGTAAATCTTTGAAAAGCTTCTTAAATTCATCAGTCCTCTGCTTGTAAGTGTTAGTTGGTGTCTGTAACCAAACAATACATTTTAAAGTAGTCATATAGCTAAAAATCAAATGTTAATCAGATACTGTCTAAACGTAAGTATACTGTAAATTATCAGATAACAATGATCTTTTTCCTTAATAAAAAATAAACAATATCTGTATGTTTCATTGATATCCTATGTAATCGGGTGAACAGGATAGCAATATTTAATGTAATCTTAACAGCTTTTATTTTCTTACATCTGCAAAATATTCAAACATGTTCAGAAAACAGCAATGGTAAAAAACCACAGAAGAATTAAGCTAAAGCTGAAACTGGATGAAAGCAGAAAAAGAAGTGAGTCAGGCTTGTGAAAGCACAACACATTTCCTTCATTCAAAACCATCTCTAAGGACAAGTTACTGAAAGTCAGGTCTCAGCTTGTTTCAAAGTCATATTCTTTATCAGCAAAGTACAGAGATGCTCAGAAAAATCTGATATGAGATATTTTCTGGATACAAACATTATATCACACATACGTTGTTATTGTATTATACATTGTATATTTTATTTCACATAAAAACTATACCCAGAAAATATAATTAAATATATGGACACTATTGCAGATTTACACCTTGCTATCAATGTAACATGTTCTTAACAATTGTGTTGCTAAGAAAAGATACAAGCATCTCACAATTAACATGTTTAACAGCTCCTTTGTGCTTGTCAAACATTTTTGTCAATATTTTCATTTAATATTTCTGAAACCTTCCCAGATTTACAGTCACAATCTGTGGTGTCTGAATGCACACCTTCAGAGCTGAGCTAAATGACAGTGACATACAACTGCAGGACCACAAGTTAGTCAATACTTAAATGCTGGTTTTTAAGTTACACTGCACACTAAAGCATTAGGGCAATTAGTGTGTTTTGCCTATGCCTGTGCTAGGCTATTACATCCAGTAAACATGTACTAACTTCCTGTCAAGAATTAGACATAATGATTTTGATTAGTCAGCATAACATAACACACTGTCAATCCTTAAGCATTTCTACCACATACAGTACTAATCAAGAACCCAAGTACAGAGAATGACTGAAGAGGCCAGGCAGCAATCTTCAGTTATCGTGGCAGCTATCATCAGACGTAGCTTTTTAAATGTTTGAATTTGTATAATAAGAGCATAAAGTGTTTCCATATAGGATTTTACTATAATAATGGATTACATCAATACAGAGCTTTATACTGAGGTGAGGACCTACGTCAACTGGGTAACAGCAGCAGCTACTCTGCAACAAAAGCCCCAGTGCACAGCAGTCAGGTGGGGGAGAGAGAGCTACTGCTTCAGCAGCTGAATGAAAGGGAAAATGTGTGGACCACCTACTGACCCACTAACAGCTTTCACCAATGACCTCTTGGCTAATGTGCAATATCTAAACTCTTCTTAAAATATTTCAGTAAATAGACTAGAAATGCATGATTGCTGCAGATTTGCATAAATACAAATTAGTTTACAACTCTGTGTTATCGTATGTACTTTTTTTTTTTACATGTAAATTTCCAAAGCCACCAGATGGAGCCATAGCTTTTGCGCTGGTTATTAGGACTGTGAAACCACACAGCTTAGAAAGACCTGTCACTTTCAAGCTTTGGTAAATGCACCGTGTGACACAGTATAGTATTTGCAACAAGTCCTACTGAAGCATGCAAAGAGAACTAAAATGGTAAGGGATCATCTGATGATAATTGCTATGTCTACTTAATACACTGGAACAGTGAGGATAGAAAAGTACCACCTTGATAGATCATTTTCTAAACTGCAATTTATAATAATAATAATTGCTCACACTTATATAGCGCTTTTCTGGAAACTCCACTTAAAGCGCTTTACAGGTAATGGGGACTCCCCTCCACCACCACCACTAATGTGCAGCATCCACCTGGATGATGCGACGGCAGCCATAGTGCGCCAGAATTTATTAACTACAGCTAATTAATTCTCTTTTGTAATGTGAGATATTGGTAAATTAAAAAAGAGAATTTTCAATATGAAGGAAATGAATCTTAAAAAGCATTTACTATTTCAAAAGCCTCCCTAACATTCTGAATCTCTCTGTTGCATGTTTTGTCAAAACAATCAATTCCTTGATGTGAAGATAACGGGAAACAGGTGCAGGTAACTCTGTTACATTTATTGAAAACTGGAAACCAAGGACCTCCCCTAACAGGATATTACCAGCCAGCGTGCTAGTGTCTGAAAACACGTGGCTTCTGCCTGTGGATAGAAGTGTAAACCAGATTTTCTGTTTCGCGACAGAAGAGTACTTCACCAGAAGAAGAAGTGGTAGCATGATCAGACTCACATCGTGCTCTTCGGAGCTCCAGCTTGCTTCCCTTCGGGAAGTACAGTCCTCGGCGGCCTCAGTCCCCACGGTGCACCTGTGCACCTGCGCCATTGAGCCCCCTTTGAACCAGACCCCTCTGCCACTGTGACACGGAGAAAAACCAGCCTTCAGAGACACTCCATGACCTCTGGAACCAGATTTCAAACAGCACTGATGTTGCACGTCTTCGTCTGCAATACAGTCTACAGGGGGCGACGACGTCCGATATATGTTTTCTCTAGTTATGCACCATAATTCTGTTGTATTTTATATCACAAATGTAAGGACAATTTTAAGAAGAACACAGTAAAATGGGTAAAATCAATATGCTTCCAGTGGTTTTCAGTGCTTGCTGTCATTTGAAAACTCCATTAATGCTGTAATGGGTTTTACCTGGATTAGCATTTACATATAACATCGAAATAGGTAATACTTCAGATTAGGGGCTGCAATGGAATGGAATAATAATGCTTTAATAAAGTGACAAAGACGTATTAATAACCAACCTCTCTGATAGATTAAAGAAGTAGTGTATTACAAAATCAATGAAAGCCAAAGCTTTATCAACGACATTCACCCTGACATGAAGTGTACGCAATAATGTTTCACAGCTGTTTATAATCATTAAAAACATGTTAATATATTGTTTATAGACAATAATAACAGATATCCAAAACCAAATGCAGTGAGGTCTTTGAGGAGATCTAGTGTGCCGTGTAAGGATTCATATGATCAAACCTAGGGAGGTCTACTGACCAGCGGAGATCAATACAATGACAAGTCCCATACCCATAGGCTACATCATGGTGCAGGGAGACTGAGAGACGCTGGATGCTAAAAACATCTTCAAAGTGCAAAAAAGATTCATATTTTCATTTGTGTATATGTTGGTAGTCTGAGTTTTGTTTAATTCCTACTACCACCTCTTAAAGACTACCCGACAGCTACCCAGCGCTCAGTGCCCTCGTGTAATTTATTACCACGCCTTTCCTAAGGCCATCACAGTTCTTGAATTCAATTAAATTAAATTCTGCTCTCAATGAAGTTGTGTAAATATATTCCCCCTCTATTTATTTATCCATCTATCTGTGCATCACATACTGGTGTCGTGATTTTATGTGACTCATTTGTTTGGCTTGTGTGTTTGCAGTTCTGTGGGAGAAGTAAAAGACATTTCCACAGCAGTGGACAATAAAGTACCTACCTATCTGAAGAATCTGTGGGACGTTTATTAAGTAATAAATATTACTTTAAAAAGCATCTGAAAGTGGAATACAGAGAAGGAATATTTTTTTTTTATTAATTCTAGGGGAATTGCTGATTATGACTGTTCTTTTGGACTGTCTTCTAGGGTTGTCTTATAAAGATAACTGAAAGAAATACAGATTCGTGAAGGATGCCCAAAAGTGCTCAAAACAAAGAAGGCAAGCCTTCACGTAAAACCACTTCAGATTATTTAGGATATCATTCTTTCAAAGGTCATTTATAATTCGATGCAAATGGCATTGAAGGGAACTGAATAACCAACGAACAAAAGGATTTACAAACGAGAAGAACTTCGTGTTGTTTTGATTTTTGCCGTGGGCGGGCTGGTCGATAAATCGACTGGTTAGTAGCTGGCTTGCACGATATTTTCCAACTGTGGACAACAATGACCATTGCTTCACGTCCAGTGTCTGTGTACACGGTGCGCATTGTGCGTGAAAGTTAATTAACTACAGGGTGAAGCTAATAATTAGAAAAAGGTTACACCACAAAAACTAGTTTTACCTGTCCGGTAACCCAGACGAAAACCAAGTGAGGGACAAAGGGCTAAATCGCCTTTGTTCTTACGAGAGCACAGATGTGGAAATTAAGAACAAAATTTAAAAAAAACAACAACATTGGAGCACTTTCCTCTGCTACTGTGAAGAGTGCTTGTGTTATCAACTCAAATCAGCTTTACAAAACGTAAAATGTAAGAAGGACGTTTCTGTAATCCTTTAATCTCTTTAGTTGTAGATTTTTCCTGTTACTCTTCGTTTGTGCTTTATTTACACAAACTGTGAGGAACATTTGCGGGCAAATCTACTGCCTGGCTTCTCGCTTAACAGCCACCTTCCACTACATATAAAGACAGCTACCGCCTGTTTGCAGATCAACCACAAGCAACATCCTCTGGAAAACTCTGATCAGAAACTGTACATCTATAAATACTGCAAATGACAAAGTAATTCAACGTTTTCAAAATCACCAGTTAAGCTTGTCGCAGCAAAATTGAGAGATATTCTTTCTCCCTTAAAGCTCTGTACTCTTCACTGTCAAGCAGTGTGTCCTCAGTTTCAATAGTACCCATACGCACAAACAAGCGATAACGACCGCGCTGCAGGCACAGCCTGTTAGAGAGAATGGACATATTTACCTGTGCAAATCCAAACAGCCCTGTCGAACGAGTCCTGGTCAGTATGGCTCCTTTGCTTATTATTGAAAGACACGAAATATCATCCAGAGGTGTGCCGATAACAGACAGGCGAGACCATCACGCCCGCGTCGCTACCGCCTTGAATGTCATCCCCGGGGAGGCGACGCTATAACCCCTGTCCCCCGGCACAGGTACAGGTGAAGTCATCAGGGCAGAATGCCCGCCCACAGCGAGAGGTACCAGTGGCGCTCTCACCTGGGAGAACAGGCTGTCAGAAGAGACCATCCCGTGGGTGGCTCCTGTCTGTCTGAGCCCTTGCATTAACTGTTCAGGAAGAGCGCAGACAGCTCCGTGATCCCACTTAACAGCGCGAACGAGTTTGGGGTCTAGGGGGTCAGACGAGCTCAGACTCATCTGCAGCGTTACCACCCTCCTCTGAAAAACTGCAAGGAATATAGATACATGCCTGTACAGCTGCCGTCAGGCGAGGGAAACTCCACTGCGAGTTTCCTTGCGGTGATTTAGAAATATCTCGGTAC